GGTTGTGGCGACACATTCAACTGCAAGCATTCACAAGAGGACATGGCTGATCGACCCGAGACGACGAGGATGAAGGGGAAAGCGTAATTTTCTATTGTTGAATCACAAGAGGATATTATGGCTTGGCTTTTTACCCTTGCCTTTGTTACAACGGGAGAAAACACACTGTAGGGATATTCGTGTGTACAAGGCCAAGGAAATCACACGAGGAAATGACATACAATGTGATACATGTACATTCACGTATATAGAATAAGAATCAATGTAATCCACCATTGCCGGAAACCGTCGCTGATCTTGACTTAAATTATCGCCCTCTGCCACTTGAGTTGTCATCCGTGACAGATCTCCCGAAAAAAAAGGTGAGAGCAAAGCAGTTGCACGTAACAATCAAATACTTAGGTAACGTCATCGTGCCAAGACCGGCTATTTTCGGATTATCAAGGTGGGGCTTTTTATGGTTCGTGAGCCGTAGTCCCGGTCCTGCAGCACCTGTAACCGGGTCCTCGCTTCTGTTGCCAGTCTCGCCGACTCCTTCTCGATCCTTCGCGCGGGAACTCCATGGCTTTTTCATATCTACTCGATACTAATTGAAAAAAAAATACGATTTGCGTATACTGACTTATGCTGATTCTTTTCGCGCGTTATTTATATTCTATGAGGAAGTCGTTTGATTATCTACCAATACATTTCATTCTTTTTCCCGTCATTTGCGTACCGGATATTTCGCAAGTTATTATCGTTACTCGTTGAGATTATAAACATCATTTTTTCGACATTCACATATTTTGTTCTCATTCATGAAATCTAGTTGGGTGCGCGAATGTTATGGCAATTTCATAATCTAGAATTACTATTAACATAATTCATGCATTATGTTTCTTGGGATCACTTTCCTTACTCTCGTTCTATTGATTACGAATCCTGTATTCACGCCGCATCTCTCTTCTTGCCGTACCATATTGTGCCAATATGCTGCCCCAACCCACGGTACAAAGGTCCGCTACATATGTCGCGGCCGGGCGGTACGGTAGGCCAGTGGTTACACAAGCTCCCGCCTGTTTAGGATTTCACACCTGACACCGAGGCAGGTCTTTCAAGGCGCCGCCAAGGGTCACGTGATCGATGGTGGTGATGACGTCATCGTGACCGGCTTGTATGAGTGCGAGGGAGAGACGGGAGAGAGGGGCGTTGGTAAGGGTGAAAATGTGAACTGGGAATGGAGAAGGGGATATGAGAGAGGGATGGATTGACACATATACAAGAGAGAGAGAGAGAGAGAGAGAGAGAGAGAGAGAGAGAGAGAGAGAGAGAGAGAGAGAGAGAGAGAGAGAGAGAGAGAGAGAGAGAGAGAGAGAGAGAGAGAGAGAGAGAGAGAAAGAGAGAGAGAGAAAGAGAGCGAGCGAGCGAGAGAGAGAGAGAGAGAGAGAGAGAGAGAGAGAGAGAGAGAGAGAGAGAGAGAGAGAGAGAGAGAGAGAGAGAGAGAGACAGAGAGAATCACTACATCAGTCGTGTACTATTTCAGTTAAAACATCTGCGCAGAAACTAAATGTGTTTAACCAAGAACATTCACAAAGACGCATAAATCATTTCTTAAAAAAAAGACGGGAAAAAAAGGTGTCTCCCATGAAATTTTGCGTTATATTGTAAATGATAAATTTATGTAAATATATATATATATACATATATACACGTCTAACCCTTCCCTTCCTCTCCTATTTCTATTTGCTTCCACGGGGGTGTTGAGAGTGCCATGACTCACCCTACGCCCAAAATCAACACAGGAAAACTTTGGAAAAAGGGGTCAAGTTTTGATGAACCCGACACTCAGTTAGGGTGTGGCGGGTTAGGGCGCGTCCTGGCAAGGGGGGGATGGGGGTGGAGGGGGGTTAAGAAGCAGCGGGGGGGGGGGGGGTACATAAGATTCAGGGTCCACCTGACGAAGAAGTTCATGACTCGAACACCATCTGGGCTTCCTGTGTTGTCTACTTGAAGATGCCCGGAGTCGATGGAGAGTGCTATGGCGGTCGGGTGTTGAGAGCTTGTGCATTTATTTGCCTAGTTTCATCCTTACCTTGTTTTCCTTTTTTCCTATGTCTGGTTTCGCTGTGTTAGTTTTCTTATATACCACTTTTTCTCTCTTTTTGCTGCTTTGTCTATTTTCTCTCTCTCTCTCTCTCTCTCTCTCTCTCTCTCTCTCTCTCTCTCTCTCTCTCTCTCTCTCTCTCTCTCTCTCTCTCTCTCTCTCTCTCTCTCTCTCTCTCTCTCTGTCCCCCCCCCCCCCTCTCTCTCTCTCTCTCTCTCTCTCTCTCTCTCTCTCTCTCTCTCTCTCTCTCTCTCTCTCTCTCTCTCTCTCTCTCTCTCTCTCTCTCTCTCTCTCTTTCTCTCTCCGTCTCTCTCTCCCTTATATATATACGTATATATATATACACACGCACACGTGGAAAAATATGTATATACAATATATATATATATGTATATATATATATATATATATATA